CAGAGAAAGTGGAAAGAAGCCATTAACAGGGAAATGGAGGCACAAAAATGACGTGGGACATGGAAACTGGTCTCACGATTAGTAGCAAAGGGGAGAAAAATCAGTGGAAAATAGGTCTTTAACATAAAAACAAAGCCGAAAGGTCCATCGAATATATACTAGGCACAATGAGTCGTGCATGGCTTTGAGCAAACTCAACCAACCTGTGCTCCACTCAGACACCACACATCCAACTGCATCATGCTCTACGTCACTCCAACCTGTGCTCCCATCAGACACCACACATCCAACTGCATCATGCTCTACGTCACGGCCGTCAAAAACATCGGCCTCCGCCATATCGACTTCTCCAACGCCTTCCTCAATGTGATCGTCTATCTTAAAATCAACGTCAAGAAGCCACACAAACTAGAAGAAGACGAATTCTACGTCACTACAATCAACGTCAAGAAGCCGCACAAATTCGAAGAAGACGAATTCCACGGCCACTACATTCTTCTTGTTGTCTACGTCGACGACCTTCTCTACACCGTAACCTGTACATAGCTCCTCAAACAGTTTGAGAGGAATATTCAGGAGAAAGTGGACGCAAAATATCTCCCATTGAGTTATTCATTTCCACAAACTCAACATTTCCCTATCCACCGAGAGCATCCATCTCTCCACTGCTAATAACGTTGAGACACTCGCGAAGAAGTTCCTAGATAGCCACCATCAACCTCACCCCTCCATTCTGCACTCCCAAACATACTCCTACGACGCCACTATCTGCGGCCAATTATCGCCTCTACCAGCAGCAGCTCGGATGCCTACTATTCGCCACTTTCACTTGTCTCGCCAGATCTGTCCTACGTTTCAAGCCAGGTCGCCATGTTTTTGTGCCGACCTGCATTCGTGGATGGACTGGTTTGCATTGATGATGTAGGTGTTGGCCTCACATCCTCCTAGCCATCCTCATCATCATCGCCCTCACCTTCCCGCACCCCCTTGCCCTCGCGCTGCTGCTGCTGCTCGCCACGCTCTCCGTCACGCCAACTCTGCTCCTACCCAATGGAACACAGCTCTAGCCTCGGGCACAACCACACGCCTGCACAGTCTGTCCAAAAGCAACGTGTCTCAATATCCCTTTTCTGAACTAATCCTTGGACCAGAACCCTTCGAGCCTCTCGACAAAGTCTACAGCGGCATTCTATGCTTAACGACAACTAATACATACTGACGTTTGTCAACGTTAGTACCCGCTTTATTCGCGCAACTAATCTTGATGCCCCCTACAAGGCATTTGACTACTTTTGCCTCTGGCCAGAAAATGGTGCAGCGACAATCAGAGCTCAAATTGAAGGCCACTAACTAGACTCTGGAATACCACTTTGACAACTTCTGTGAAAAAACTATGAAAACAAGGGCATTCAGCGGATGATCTCGCTACCCTATGTTCATAAGTAACAATGGTTAGCAAAAGGGACCATCAAGAGCATGGAAACAAAGATGAGGGAACTTATGTAGCAGTCAGCTTTGCCAATTGCCTATTGACCCTTCGCAATTTCACACGCTATTTGCCTGCACAACATTTTGTCCTCCAAAAGCTTACCCAATAGAAATTCTCCATTCAAGGCATGGGCAAATAGCAACGTCGACATGGTACAGTAATGCCAACAAACTGCAAGTATCGGAAAATCCAAAGACCAGGCAAGATAACAATTTACCTTGGAATCGAGACAGAGTACCACGCATGGACCATCCTCGACTATACCACCCACGAGCTTACCCGATCACGTGATTGCATCATGTATGAAAAGCTAGCACTGCCATTGTTTTGCCAGCACCGCATAGCACTAGAACCTCTAGACAACATCTTCCAAGGGGAGCACAACTTCGCGACAGAACACGACGAAGCTGATGTGGCAAAAGACGTCCCTGAGGATCAAATCGACAGCCAACCACCCATCATTCCATTTTCAGGCATCTTTAGTGCACGAACATTCATCCTCATGTCCCAACACGACCCCAACAACTCTATACAAGCACAACGTAAGTACCGAAGTGCAAAAAGCCACTCACCAAGGAAGTTCCCGATCGAGATGACTAACGCGATACTGATCTAAGCGACAACAAAGACGACAATGTCATGGAAATAACCAGCCGTGACATAACCACCCTTCGGACCGTGTTCGACATGTCCTGGTTACGCATTCTCGGTCTCGCCGTAGGTGTTCGCAGAACTCAACACCTCGCTGAGCCCACGACAGTTTGCCAAGCTCTGCAAGGAAGGAAAGAGAAAAGTGTAAAGAAGCTATGAACATGGAAATGGAGGCACAAATCGACGAGGGACTAGAAAGCTGGTCCCACGCTCTGCAGCAAAGGGGAGGAAAATCCTTAGCGGAAAATGGGTCTTTCGCATCAAAAGAAAAGCTGATGGGTCCATTGAAAAATATAAGGCATGATGGGCCATACGTGGCTTCGAGAGAAGTCAAATCACCAGTTATACTCAAACCCGCGCTCTCGTCAAACGCCACATATCCATCAACATCTTGCTCTACATCACGGCCGCCAAACACCTCGACCTCTGCCAAATCGACGTCTCCAATGCCTTCCTCTATGCAATCGTCGACGAGATATTCTACGTCGAGCAGCCGCACGCGTTAAACCCTAAACCCTAAACCCTAAACCAGGATGAGAAATCCAAATATGTGCCTACTCCAGAAGCCCCTCTACCGTATTAAAGAAGTCCCCTGCCCGTGGCAATAGTACTTTCACACCATCCTCATCGACATCGGCTTCCTGCAGCTTTCTCGTGACCAAGGCATGTACCGCCTTGAATTCCACGGCGACTCCATTCTTCTCGTTGCCTGCTTTACACCTTGACCAGCACATAACTCTACATACGCTTTGAGAAAAAACATTTATGAGAAATTGGACGGACCTATCTGGCACTCAGTTTCTCAGTTCCTTGAGCTTACACTTCCCAGTCCATCGAGAGCATCCATCCCTTCGTCACTAAGCCGAGACACTCACGGAAAAGTTCGAGATCACCCCCATCAACCTCACCACTCCGTTCTGCACTCATCCGTCCGAACATACTCTTGATAGCATACTCCTATCTGTGGCCAATCTTTGCCTCTACTAGCAACAGGTCAGATGCCTGTTATTTGCCACTGTCACCTGCTGTCGAGATCTTTCCTACGTAGCAAGCCAGCTCGCCAAGCATCTGTGCCGACCTGAAGGGGAGAATGTGGTGGGTCCACGACGAGCGTTGCAATATTTTATCTCTACGCCCGCTGTCGGTCTCACCTACACAGCGAACATAACTGCTACTCTTAGCTCAAAGGCTGTGTCAATGATGATCACGCAAGAGATCTTCACAACGGATTTATCAGCTTGAACCTGCTGGACCCATCTCCTGGAACTTACGGAGGCAGGAACTCATCGCCCACTCATCCGTCGAAGCCTATTTTATCGCCACTAGTGCAACTGTTCGCAAATGACTCTACCCAATGGAGCTCCTCCAATAAGCAAAAGTGGTGATGAACGGGTTGTTTATGTATGCTCAAGATCGCCAAAGAATTCGGTTTCGTAAACCTCACGAAACGCATCGCTCTTCATTACTTCTTCATGAAGGACGAGATCGACAAAGGCAAGTTGGATCTCACCTACTGCCCAACTGGCAAAATGGCAGCCAATTTTCTGATGAAGAGAATTTCACATAATAAGTTTCAGTATTGTGCTGACCTGTGCGGCGTCATCAAGAAGAGGCGAGTACCATACCTTCATGAATGGATGGCGGTGCTCGAAATCTGAAAAGTTGTATTGGCATTCTTGAAGGTATCGCTGTATTGCAAGATCTCATTCGAGGAATGCACACTAGCTATTATCGAGTTGTACTCATACAGAATACGTGATGGTAGAGGAAGATAGAAAATCAACTGTTGGAAGTCAACTGTTCCAACTGTTGACTGGCCAAGACCGGAGGTTACACGCTGCAACCAAGAAACCACAAGCACCAGAATAGTCATGCCCAGGCCCAACAATATCAGGGTAAAACATACTGACTACCCCGATTTTAGGATGCTACCACCATTGCCTGGATATAGGACAATTATGACTCATCTTATACACTAAAAAATTATTAGGGATGTCTTGTATTTGGGGAGGTTTTGGGTGTCTAATAAGTCTTATAAATGAACATTTTTTAATATACTATGTAACATGTACAAAATCTATAGAAACCACCCAAGTGGCAGATTCATTGAATTCGACCGACCTTGGAGGTGATGCATGCGTCACCATCACGTGCCACATGAGGGACGCAGAAAAGGTGCCTGTGCTGGCAACATCCCTCCCTGCTGGCAGCATGTTGTGATACTGCTAGTGTCGTTTTGTTGCCAGCAGTGCAAAGATCCCCTTTGTTTATAAGAAAGCACGTAAATCGTAGACAGTTTACAAGACACAGCCTTAACTCATACACGCACACAAGTATCTTATAATCACAACACCCAACTATAAGAAACACCCCAACTAAAGACACCCCTTGTCTTCTGTTAGACAAATAAATTTAAATTATACAATTCAGTAGTTCAATAGTATGAAAGTACAATAGTATCGTAGTATTTCTAAATATGTAAATTATTGTAGAAGGTTTCCCTTCGTGTAAACTACATGTAGTAGTGCAAACAGTTTCGCGACTGTTCGCATGACACATGATTATACCTCTTCATAAAGTCGACTCCATATCTAGCCCGTTTCATGAGGAGGAACATCTTTTACTGTCGTAAACTATAAATCTCTTGTATCTCTTCTTTAATATTCAATTCTTGTTCTCACATTATACCAGCACCGGAATTCGAGTCTTCCGCTGCAATAATTTACAAAGACTAAACTCTAAATGATCCTAATGCAATTTTTCAGTCCAACATGGTATGAGAGCAGGAGAGTTTACCATCTCCTAGTTTCCACGAATTCTCAATCACTGAAATTATTAATATTAGGATGAACTTACAATCATGACAGATAGCAACAACGGCAAGCCCTACTATCACTGTGGAGGTGGTGGCTCGCAACAACCCTCTGCACCACCACTACCTGGCTCTTGTCTTTCAGAAGTAACCATTGCCAGCCCTGCTCCAACATCTGCATCTGCAACTGGACCAGGAGGCGCTGGAGGATCGTCCCAGTCCTTCACATTCGACGCTGAAACAGGAGATGGTTCCGCTGCAGGCGATGGTGCAGCAGGCCTCGATCATGTGATACAACAATTTTTTCAAGCCATGTCAGCGTTCATGACATCAGCTCAAGTACAACAAGCACTACAGTCATCATCGTCAGTAAACATGGGAATGGCACCAAGGAGTATTGATGGGACATCATACATACGACAACAACCAAGTTCTTACCGTGCTCCAGCTCGACAGCAGTCGCGGGTCACTCATGCGTTTGTGCCTCAAAGTATACCTGCGGCAGCAACAGCAGCAGCAGCAGCAACAACAACAACAACAACAACAACAACAACAACAAAAACAACAACAACAACAACAACAACAACAACAACAACAACAACAACAACAACAACAACAACAACAACAACAACAACAACAACAACAATAACAACAACAACAACATGATAGAGATGGATTCGGAGCAAGAGATGCAACCAATTATCAAGCGCAGATGTTAAACATCCTAAAATTTCAGACTTCAAGACCCTTGGAGCTTTGAGTTTGAACTCATGATCGAAGCATCACAGATTTGGGAATACTTCACCGGGGAGATACAAAATCTAATCAGCGGCACACCAGATGAACAGCGTGGTTACGCTTTTCAGTCGATGATGGCGTTTATCATTCTTCTGCGCGACTTGTCACTAACTGAACAGCAAGGCATCAGATCATACAGGGAGTTTGCAAACTTAGCGGAGTTAGCATGGCAACACTTGAAGCGGCTTTATCAAGCAACAGACTGTGTAACACAGAGCAGACTCATGTTGCAGCAGAATAACATGTAAATAAAGGCAGGAGAACATGCGGTGCAGAGAGCTACGTGATCAGTTCAACAGAAGCTGTGGAAACTTCCCTAAGTCAATGTTCGTAACAGTTGTCATCGCCGGACTTGGACCTCAGTGGCGTATTACACGCTCTCTTCTCTGCACTCAAGGGAATATCTCAGAGATGCACTCTTGCGCAACACCCCTCGCCGGACAGCAAGATATGGATATATACGACAGCAAAGCAAACAAAAAGGTGAATCAGTTTGCTTTTATAGCACACAGTCAGGTGGAGCATCTTAATAAATAAAGACAAAAGCATTTTCAGCAGCAATAGAAGTAGCGAGAACAGCAGCCAAAGCGGCAGCAGCAGTTTTACGTACCCCAATTTTGCCACATTTGTAAAACTTCTGGATATTCTTGTGATCATTGACCTCAGCGTCATCAACCAACACTTCACCGCCCAGCTGCTGCTCCTCCATAAGTTGCAGTCGCTACTATCTCAGCTGCACAGAGTAAACCACAGAGCATGTTAGCATCAGCAAAATGGAGAAACGTGTTCGCCTGTATGGCTCGCACAAGTTCATGCATCACAGGCTCACCTCCAACCTTTGCTCCATATGAAGTTCCGTAGGAAGTTCCAACAAATCTTCAAGTTAACTTGCAGTACGCCAGTGTCGTAGCTACCGCCGAATACGGTCCGGGTGTCTGGTTCCTTGACAGTTGCTGCGCACAACACATGTGCACATCAGGAACTAACAACGGGTTCTACGTGAAGCATGAGACACGACTCCAACATGAAGTGACAATAACGGTCGCTAACAATCAGACGTTACGTACCCAACGTCAAGGCACAGTTCTTCTTCAGTCACCTGAGACAAACACGGTTATCCAGCTCTCTAACGTCCTCATGATGCCTGGGCTCGGCTACAATCTTCTCAGCGTCAGTCAGTTGATGAGCCGCGGAGTGCACCTGGAATGCGACAGTGATTAGAGAGAGTTCAAGATATATTCGACAAGGGAAGGATTCCACATTGCAAAAGCAGTGCAGCAAGATGGCGTATTCGTTCTTAATGTGGAAAGAGATGGGACATAAGCAAACATCGATCGGATTCTTGCCTTCGGTTCTTGGACAGATTGTCATCCGAAGGAGCTCAATACCGAGCCGGATCATCTTGGGTTTTACCGAAAAAATTTCACTCCAATATCATCTGAAGCGGGTACACCTGGAACATCACAAGCAGTAGCAGAGTCAATGAACATCAGCAGGGAAGCCAAACAGCACCGGGAAACGGAATAGATACAACAGCCATCATTACCTTTGACTTCATCGCACTCAACAAGACCGTTTGTCATTGACAAATCTGCCTCTCGTGGCGGCATGGTTAACGATGCACCACATATGAGTCCGGCCAACTTCGCCGCCTTCTACGCCAACTCCGATTTGTATCATCGATCTACGAGACATGCAGCTTCAGAAGAAATTTGACACAAACGGCTAGGACATCCGAGTGGAAACACTACTTACGACACAATTCTCGCGGGGGTTCTTGACAAAGATGCCCTTCTTCTTCTTGATGGAAAGGAATTGCAAATGCCTCGACACATCTGCACCTGTGCCCTAAAGTAGATCTGCCTCGACAACCATTTCCTTCTCATCATAACCCAGATGTTCCTGCATACAAGCCACTGGAAAAGGTTTATAGCCACATCTTGGTTATTCCACGGCATGAAGGGCGAGCAGACTTAAACTACTTCATCAACTTTTTCGACGCTGCAACACATTACGACTGGCACGCGCTTCTTCAATCACGTGATCTTGCTTACGAAGAATTTGTGGCATGGCTACCTGCAGCAGGACGGGAGAGTGACTTGAAACTAAAACGTTTCTAGACAGACGGTGCCCTCGAGTATCTCTCACAGCGTTTCAGAACTTATCTTGTAGAAAGGGGAATCAAGAAGCTACAACCGCTGCCTTACCAGCATCAGCAGCAGGGCGTGGCAGAACAGATGAACAGGACTCTCCAAAACATTATGCGCAAGCTGCTCATGGAAACACGCTCGCCACCAGGATAGTGGTCGTTTGCGTTGGACCACGCTGTATTTTTCCACAACCTTCTGTCTTCGTCGTCCCTGCTAAACGATTTCTCACCGTACAAGGAATGGACAGAAAAGCTAGGCAGTACAAAAATGTTACGCATCTTCGGGTGCATGGTACAGTATCGGCCTTTGAATACACCCGCGGGAAGGTTTTCACAGAGGGCACGTTGGGGAATACATTTCGGCATCAAAAAAGAGTTCGCAGCATTTAAACTCTGGGATGTGGAGGATCGGGTTACAATTCCGGTACGTGACATCATTTTCTACGAAAGACTCATATGTATCCTATTACCTGAGATACACTAGCAGACGAAGCTGATGCGGTGGAGGAAACTGTCTCGGGTGCATCAGCAGCTGCCGATGCCGCCCCATACAGTTCAGTTCCGATCAAAATTGATGAGGACAACCCTTATAACAACGTGAACTACGAGTTTGCCGATGACGGGACAACTACACCCATCCCCGTTGCTTCTAACAAAAACGAAAGACTCGGCCCTGGTATTAATTCCAATCCAGAAGCTGGTGATGAAGCTCCTACTATCGAGACTGAGCAGCAGACTCGTTATCGACAGACCGGGCTACAGATACTAAGAGTCACTATAACAGTTCAACCACCTCTTCCTACCAAACTGAACACCTTGGCTCTATCACTGCATGCGCCTCACCGAGAAAAATGGTGCGAAGCCATGGATAAGGAGCTAAAGGCACTACACGACAACAACACATGGGATTCAATCCCTATCTCGACAGTTCCTAGCAAGAACATTCTCTCTCGGAAGTGGGTCTTCCGCATTAAGACCAACGGTAATGGAACGATCGAGCGCTTCAAGGCTCGTTGGGTTGTTTGCGCATTTGATCAGAAACAAGGCCCGGAATACGATGCGACTTTCGCTCCCGTCAGTCGTCACATAATTCCCCGAATTCTACTCGCCTTAGCAGCAGCATTGGGTCTCAAACTTCGCCAAATCAACGTATCTACGGCATTTATTTACGCTCTCATCAACGCACTCATTCTCGTTGAGCAGTCGCCTCAACAAATCTATCTACGGGATAAAACAAGTGCCACGTCTCTGGCAGTAGCACTTACACAAACGCCTCATCCACATCAACTTTTGTCAATTGCCTCACGACCACGGCATGTACCATCTTGAACGCGCGGCTGCATTCTTCTTACTCGACGTCTACGTCGACGACTTGCTTTATATTGGCAGCTCGCCCGACATTATCTCTTACTTTGAAGGGGAGCTGAAAAATGATCTGACGGTTACCATTTCCACCGATGTTGCTAAGTATTTCGGACTCAAAATCACCAAAACTCCTACTGATATTTATCTCTCCGCTGAGAAATACGCCGAGAAGCTGCTGAAGTGATTTCCTCTGCCGGTCACTACATCTAAGACTCCGTTCCATTCTACTCCGGTAGCTGAATCCGAGCCTCTTAACTCTACGGGTGTGACACGCTATCAGCAACTTCTGGATTTAGCTTACTCGGCTAGCCAGCTCGCTCAGTATCTTAAGCGACCTGAAGGGGAGAACCTACGGGAGTTGGAAGCAGCTGTTCCGAACCTCGTATCTATTTCTACCATCGGACTAACGTATCATAAGTCACCGAAGTCGCAGCTAGCTCAACTCGGCTATGTAGATGCAGATCACGCGGGTGATACTACAAACAAGCGCTCACGTACGGGTTATATCTTCCGCCTTGAGCCCATGGGAACAATCTCCAGGCAGTCGTCCAAGCAGGAGCTAATTGCACTTTCATCAACTGAGGCAGAATTCATCGTTGTATGCACTGCCACGAAGGAAGGCTTTACCTTCGCGAACTGCTTAGCAATGCAAAGTTACTAGACTTGTTATAGTTTCATCTCTTCTGCAACAACCAGTTTGCAATTCGCATCGTGAACAGGTCCGGGTTTGCGACTCGAACCAAACACATTTCACTTCGCTACTTCTTCGTTCACGATGAAATCAAGCAAGGCAAGTTACAGCTCGATTACTGCCCCGCAAGCAAAATGGTTGCGAACTACTTAACGAAGTGACTGTCACGTCCGAAATTCCAATACTGCATGATGCTGACTGGACTCCGTCACATCACCAACAACACTAACAACATTGAACTCCAGAATTGAAGGGGAGTGTTGGACAAAGAAATTTGACTTATACGATTCAGTAGTTCGATTGTATGAAACTACAGTAGTATCGTAGTATTTATATATGTGTATGTTAGTGTAGCAAGTGTCCCTTCGCATAAGTTACATGTAGTAGTGCGAACAGTCTTGCGACTGTTCGCGTGACACAGGATTATACCTCTTCATAAATTCGACTCGATATGTAGCCGTTTCATGAACAGGTACATCTCTAATATGTACTTTCGTAATCTATAAACCTCTTGTATCTCTTCTTTAGTATTTTAAAATTGTTCTCACAATACACCAGCACAGGAATTGAAGTCTTCCACTGCAATACTTTATAGAGACTGAAATCTAAAATATCCTAAGTAGATTTTTCAATCCAACATCTTCAATTCGACATTATCTTATATTCGGGCGTTTACGGTGTTGGGGGTTTCCCTAAAATTTCACTTTGATGCTGAA